CTCTCTCTCTCACTGCAATGACATTTTTACCAGACAGTTCTTAAGTTGTTCTTCCATGGAATACTTTTCCTTGCATTCCTTAATTGCAATATTTATGCAAAAAAAATCAAATGATTATGTTTTCCCAATATGTAAAATGCAACAAAATAGGTAAATGGATAAGGCTAGCCTTTTATTAAAAAGTACCTTTCTTAGTGCTTTTTAAAAATTATTTTAGTGTGATTTATCAAAAAAAAATCCACAAGTGCTAATTATTAACACAAGATTTTTCTGCCTCCACATAGGCAAATATGTACACAGTATTTTACTAATATATGATTTAGTTTTATTGTGATTCATATTAACACATTCATTTATTTCAATAATTTTACATGCTATAAAATTAGTATTTTTATCTTTTGCAAGTTTATATGTATATTAAAACATTTAATATATCAAGATGGATATGCTGCTCTTAAAATAAAATGCCTCTTTGATTGTCTAAAACCTGATCAAATGTTGAAGTCTACAATATGTCACTGAAGGTATGATGAGTTATAAAAGGTTGTTCATGGTTATACTAAAATTTTCTGTTGTTCAGTCAAATAACCAAAAGGCGAGATAGGTATTTATTATTTAAGTTTATTACTTTATTTTCATGATTGGTAATAATTGCTCAATTTTTAATATGCATGATTTATAGGCATTCAAATCATTTGGGTTTATATCTACAATTATTTTTTACAAGCTTACTAGAGACCCAGAACTAGGCTGATATCAAAATATGTGTGACATTTTCTATTTCTACATACTACATCAGAGATTGAAAGAAAGCTGGATATGTACAAGAGATGTCACTGCTAGAAATGAAAAATCTTTGTCAGAAGGATGTTCAAAGTTCTCTGATTAAAATGATGTGGGCTGGAAGTAGTAACTTCATGAAGGAGAACTTTCCCTAGTTTAGACCAGTACTGTCTACATCCTCAGGAATAACAAGTGAGGGGAAAGTTAAAATAGCAAAGTTTTCCTGAGAGTATTTTTGAAAGAATAATAGGCTTGTAAATTATTTGATGTGGAAGTGGTTGAAATTGTGGATATGACCAAGCAGCTGGGATGAGAGGAGGGCCTCGATGTCAGAAGAAGCAGATTAAAACAGGGAGTGAGAAATATTCCCTGTTTGGTTAAAGACACATGGAATTGGTGGTGCCTGTGGAATAGCTTGTGGAGGAGTAGTCAGAAATTTCAGTCTGACACATCAGATTGCACTTGAAAAATATAGATTTGTGAACAATTAAAAAAATTAAGGAAAAAACGTGTGAATAGGAACATCGATGAAGAAACATATGGAAAGAAAAAGGAGGTCTGGCATAGAATTATGGGCAAAACAGATGTTTGAGGGATTAAAGAAAAAGCATCCAGATAAGAGATAAAATGATCAAACATTAAGATGGTAATAGTGATTTAAAATAAAAATAAAACAGAATTACAGGATGAAACACTATTCAAGGACTCCAAGTGCATCTCAGAAATCAAGTAGAATGAGAACTGAGAAAGTGATGATTGTGTCGGTGGTAATGAGTCAATTATGAACCTCCCCATTGTGTTCTCCAGGAATCAGGTGCTGAGCAAGAATCAGAGAACAAAATGTTTTTTGTTTTTTTTTTTAGAAAGTAGCACTGTGAAAAAAGAAGAAAACAAAATTGGGTAAATAGGGTCTAGAACAGTAATAAAGACCTGACAAAGTTTCTGCCAAACAAGACAGGTTGCTCCAGAGCAAGGGAGCACCGGAGCAAAGATTGTTCAACAAAAGGAGACAAAGTTGAGGACTTTGTACCACTGGCTTATTCAGTAATTGAACTGATGCTCATATAGTTGGCTAAGGCAGATGGTAAAATAGCTAAGAACTTGAATCTGTCAGTTAACTACATTCCTCCTTGAGTATCAAATGTTTCCTCGAAGGAGGATCTGTATGGTACATTTTTCTGCTCACCAAATAGACCTTCCTAGAAGCTGGCAGAACTGCAGGGACAGAAGCCATTGTGCAGAAAATTAGAAAGGAAGCTGAGGCAAGATGATGCAGATATTAGAAGAGGTAGCCTGTTTTTTAGCAGAGCCAAAGAAAGTTACAATTAGAGAAGCAGCAACTTAGCAAGGGTGAAGGTTGATGGAAAGGAGTGCTTAGAAGATAAAACATGAAAGTAAGAAGAAATTAAATCACAATTTGAAAGAGACAGAATTAAACATTAAATTAATAATCCTTTACCTTTTGAAAATTAAAGAAGGGAGAAATATTCTGCCAAAAGATGCAAGATTTAGAGTGATAAAAGTAATAGTCCAGACACTAAGAGGCATTGTTTACTGTGGGACACAGACGATAGTTTTATTTTCCAAATTTTTTTAAAGATTTTATTTATTTATTTTTAGAGAGGGAAGGAAGGGAGAGAGAGAAAGAGAGAGAGAGACATGAATGTGTGGTTGCTGGAGGTCATGGCCTGCAACCCAGGCATGTGCCCTGGCTCGGAATTGAACCTGCGACACTTCATTCCCAGCCCGCGCTCAATCCACTGAGCTACGCCAGCCAGGGCGTATTTTCCAAATTTGACAGAAAGCTACACAGGGCAGGGAGATCTCTATTATCTTTTAATGTCTATTTTTTCACTGTACCCAGAACAATGTCTAGCATATAAGTACTTCATAACAGGCTGACTGAATAAATATTTGTTGAACTAGCTAATGAATCAGCTACACAGTTTAAACTGTGTAACATGCAAGGGGAAAAAACAGTGTGAGATAAACAATAAGAGCACCATGTAGGACACTGCTATATGTGCTGCAGCAATTTCCCAACAATTTTCAGTGGATGAGAAATGGAAGCATTGTTATGGATGCAAAGCACATACACTTGGTAGTGAAAGCAGCGGAAAAATAGAACGTTGCTTAAGAAATGTTTGTGTGAAGGCAGGCCCTGTAGTTGGAGGTACAAAACAAGTGGGACCACTTCTACTTTCATCCCTATATTCCCGGACCCTCAAGTCCTTTCTGTCAGCGACACCTTAGGGATCTCTGGATTAATAAATATACAGGGTGGGGCGAAAGTAGGTTTAATGTTGTGAATACATGAGACAGAATTTATTCCTGCATTATTACTTATTATTATATTATTTTCCACACAAACAACTGTAAACCTACTTTCGCTCCCTCTTGTGCTGTATGCTAAGGATGTTGCATTTGTCAGGGTTCTCCAGAGAAACAAAACCAGTAGGAAATACATGATGGATGGATAGATGGATAGAGAGAGATATTCTAGGAATGTTGCTCATTTGTCCATGGAGGCCAAGAAGACCCATGTCGATTCCAGATCTACAAGCTAGAGAACCAGGAAAGCCGGTGATAAAATCGGCCTGAGTCTGAGGGCCAGAAAATCTGGTACTGATGATGTAAGCACTGGATCTCAGTCTCAAAACCCAAGAATCAGGAGCACCAATGTCCAAAGACAGGAGAAGATGGATGTCTCAGCTCAACCAGACAACAAATCGCTCTTTCACCATTTTTTTCTGTTCAGGCCCTCAATTTGTCAGAATGATGCCCACTCACCTTGGGGAGGGGCATCTGCTCTACTCAGTTCACCAATTCAAATGTTAATTTCTTCTGGAAATATACTCACAGACATACCCAGAAGTAATGTTTTACCACCTATCTGCACAGAGAGCTCAGTCAAACTGACACAAAATATACCATCACAGATAGCATTCCATTGCTTTAAAATACCTCCTTCAAACTGGTGCTTCATTTCACCTATTAGAAAAGCTATTGAAAAGTTCTATGAGGCTAGGAGGTGCATCATGAGAAACAATCAGCAGTGGATCTCATGGTCATGTGCTCGCTCCCACACCTCCTTCACCATGAAGTGGGTTCCCTGGCCAGATGCCATGCAATGTGGGATTCTATGTCTGTGTATTTCATTATGTTAAGAATTATATCAGTTATCCCATATGTAATAGTGCTGCCTATGGCTCTGCAAGTGGGAAAGGCAAAGCAATAACTGAATAGGTGTCTCTTCCCAACAGAACTTTGGCCCCTGCTGGGTTGGAAGAAGTTCTGATATGATCAACTTGCCATCAAGTGAGAGTTGCTTTCTTTTAAAAAAAAATACATGTTTGTGCGTGGGGTGGGGTAGTTCTATATTAGAGCTCAGTAATAGTCTCTGCCTCTGACAAGTTAGACATTTGCCATTCAAAAGCAGAAGTAAATAAGAAGTAAGTAAGTAAGTGGAAGTTCATCCTATTAGGCATATACATAGCAACTGTGGCCATGCCATTAATATACAATCATGACACTCCTGAGGAAGACGACAATAATGGTTGACTAAAGTCAACTGACCAAGTTGTTTTGTCTATGTGGTTGTTTACTGCCTTTCCTGTGTTGGATGTTTCCCAGTGGACATTGGCATGTGATACAAAAACATTCACACTTGGTGCCCATTCCCATAAGTCCATCCACACGCCTCTACCCCAGAGCCCCTTGTATCTATAACCAGAAGACCAGACCAAACCATCCATAAACCAACTCAGGCTTTTCCTTCACTTTTAGTTGGTCATATGCAAGGTATGATCTATTGCCTCTCAAGTCCAAATTCATTATTCACTATTTGATCTGCAATAATGGATCAAACTCTAGACATTTTCTCCATTATAGTAGGGCAATGCTAAAATTTGCCAGTACAGCGCACCAGAGGGACATTGGAGGAACAAGAGACCCTCGATGTGTACTGCACTTTTCTTTGCTTATTCCTGCTGCACTGGAAATTACCTGTGCCACATGTGAGGACATGCTGTGGTACTGTACTACTTGCACACATACTGCCAGAATACACTGGCCTTCAGTGATCTTGCAAGTCTGGCCTGGATCCACTAACCACATTCTTATGATCCTGCTGACATGGACATCATGGACTTCAGGCTGTGGCTCCTGCAGCACCATCCTGCCACACTCTGTGCAACCCCATACCAGCTGTGGCTTACCTGTGCGCATCCTAACCTGGACACTGTGCACTCCAGCCATCACACATGAAGTGGCATTGATTGTCTCAGCAACACTAGCTGGAGGTGTGATTTCTGCTTTCTCCATGTCTATGGACCAGTTTTGGTCTAGTGGTCAAGTAGACATAAATCACACCTTGTCCTTGAGGTCTGAACTCCAGCCTTGCAGAGTGGCCACCCTTACAAATGTACCCTTCTTTGGGAACTATCGTCAGACCTAGGGTACCACAGATTTCTCTTTATGTCGTTATAATTACTTTCCTATTGTAGCTTATGATCCAGCTTTTCTTATTTAAATTACTGTGTGACTTCTGTTCCCTGATTGAACCCAGGCTCTGGCTCTCAGATATAGCCAGTAACTGCTTGTTATCAATCTTCAAACTCTTATTATCTCTCTGCAGAAGGCATCAGTAAAACTTAGCAGTGACCAGCTAACTCCTCTGACTTTAAATGCCTGCTTTATCTCATCTGCCACATTTCCCTCTACTGGGACAGTTTTCCCCATTGCCATACAATTTTTAGAATTGTACTGCCACCTTGTGGTAGGAACTATCTGTGCCCTTCTTCCCACAGGCATCCCGTCCTTGCTGCTGCAGAACTAAGCCAACCAAGCCAAACCCACATCTTACTACTCAGCAGTTTACATGCACTGTTCTCATTATTAATTGTTTTAATCTGGATCTCCTGAGAAGCAGATGCCACGACAGGGCTAAATATGCAGGAATTTCACTAGAAGGAACACTGCTGTATGAAAAATGGAGAAAAAGGTGAAAGGCTGAGAAACCTGCCAGACAGCAAAGCAAATCTGACCCCAAGTGAAGGAGAGATGGAGAGAAAACTGGATAGAAGCATTCTAGGATCACACAGTTTAAGGAAGGCCCATGCAATGTAAAGAAGGTGAAGCAAAGCTGTTGGGGAGTCCTCAAGCCAGAGTCACTGTCAGAGGAGTCCCATGTCTTCCTGTAATGCTTGCCTTATTTCTACCAAGGTCTGTCATTGGTTGGGAGCAGACCATGGGACACGTGGCCTCGGCACAATGAGCCAATGTGCTTCAGAAAGCAACTGCTCATTCATTGAAGGGTCTCAATGATGAGACCCTTCATCATTCATGCTCCTTGTTCTAGGAGATTTCTGGGATACATTCCTGGCTGCCACACACCACTCTGCACATACCTATCTGCTTCCAGCCTGTCCAACTTTTAGAAATGGCTATAGGCCTTGTTAGTGAATCAAGGACACTTTTCCGACATCAGTGTACCTCTGAGGTTAATTTGGCAGTCAACTTGGAAACTAGTAAACTGATTCTACAAGAACTCGTAGAGGTGGGGGTGGAGGGGAACTAGCCAAATCAATGACCACAACCCTGTCAAAGAATGCTTTAGAAGGTCTTCCATCATGGGAACTATGGCATGTCTACGCCTAGTCACACTTGGCACATGCTTCATGTTTTCTATTTTGTTCACAGTGTGGTAAAGAACGTTAAGTGGTGCTCACCAAATATTCCATGAGTTTTCCTGATGTTTTCCAGACCCTAGACGAACTCAGAAAAGAATACAAAATTAGGTCCATGACTTTGAAAAGAACCTAAGCAAGCAAGTGGCTCTGGTGCTTTTGCTTCCTTAGCTTCTTGATGTGTCTACTGTTGATAACAAATATCTCAATATGCTAAAGAAGGATATACAGCTCAAAGAGAAGCAGTAACAAGAGAAGGATTGTAGTCAGATCTTACTTGAGTAAATACCACTGGGACAAGTCAAAGGCCAGCTGAAGGCTAGGAGCTCTGAAGGGAAAGAGGAAGGTCAGATGAAGGGAGGGAGATTCAGGTCAACCGATAGGGTAGAAGGGAAAAGAGATAGTCTCTATCTTTGGGTCAGGAGGCTAAACCAGCAGGCCTCCATGGTGTCAAGGGATGAGGATCCAAGGCTGCGTTCTCCTGATTCAGAGCCTCTTCTGGATTTATGTTGGAGGAGAGAGGGTGAAAGCTCAGACTGAAAATACAGTAGACAACAGACACGATTCAGGTGATTCAGGTGCAGATGGTTTATTATATCATAATTTAAACCTTCAGTAGTGAAAACACAGGTGAGGAATAAATTATGTTTTTTTTTCCTTCTTGGTGTAAGCCAATTTCTGATTATTTATTTGGTGTCGTACTCTCTTCAGGCCAAGGTTGTTAGGTACTGTTGCTGTAAGAGAAAAGAAAACAACCAGAGTTGCTTTTTTTCTAAGCTAACACATTTCTAACACAAGCAATTTATAAGGCATAGGTAATAGAAAGGAAAGGGTCAAGGAAATGAAAACTAAATACAGAAGAAAACAATTATCCAGTTACCTAAATGGCAGATACTCTTAATCTTTAATAGAAGCAGCTCTCTAAAATACTGTTCATTTATCCATATTTAGTAACTAATTAGGTCAATATAGCAAGTATCTTAACACTTCCATTTAAGTATATGAAATGATTTTAACTTAGCAAAAGGAAACTTTGTGATACAATCACATTTTACTTAGTTGCACACACCAATATACAAGCACACACATGTATATATCTATATATTGAAATATTTTAACAATGACCATCCTTTGTGCTAAGATTAATGATAATGATTATTTAATTAGTTTGCATAGCTATATTCTTTAAATGAATGCTTATTGTTACTTATGAAATAACAACAGAATGATTCATACACTTAGATACATATACAATTATTTGAGTGAATTAAGAAAGGAGAGTCAAGGCAATATTTGGGCATTTAAAGGTCCCTAGATGGAAAAGGATCTTAATGTTCTTTAAATCTAAAACCACCCTTCAGAATTATGGAAAATGACACCAGGTAAGCATTAAATAAAGTTAGAATTTTTGTTGTAAACTTAAATACAAAGGCAAAAATCACAAGTGTTTTTGAAACCAAGATAAATAATGTTTAAAAAACAGGAATTTATTAACACTGTGCTAAATCTAAAATCCCAACTTACATAACTGACAAATCAGTGCAGTGAGAGATGGAAGAAGGTAAAAATATATTAAGGATCCCTAGTACTAAAGGGAGCCCCCAACATGCCTCTAACTCCATATGATTACATTGTGTACTTTCTGTGCCGTACTTTGTATAGAAATAGCTCGGTACTAAATGACATAGTGTAAAATAACAAAGAAAATTCCATAGGATAGTAAAAAATAGTAAAATTCAAAATATGCTATGTCTCAGAAAATATACCACTCACATGTTCAACTCACTAAAAATAAATAACTTATGAAGTTACAACCTGACAAACAGATTGGTGATGATCATTACAAGTAAGTAATTTGGCAATAGATACCAAAAAATAATGAGTGCATATACTATATTTATGCTTTGATCACTCTCTTCTAGGGATTTATCCTGAGGCTATAATTGAATAATTATTTCAAAATGTGTATACATTTAAGGATATTATTTACAGGGAGTTTGTAAAAATGAAAAACTGGGAGTGGCCCTGGCTGGTGTAGCTCAGTGGATTGAGCACTGGCCTATGAACCAAAGGGTCACCTGTTCTATTCCCAATGAGGGCACATGCCTGGGTTGGGGGCCAGGTCCCCATTAGGGGGCACATGAGAGGCAACCACACATTGATGCTTCTCTCCTCTCTCTTTCTTCTTCCCTTCCCCTTCTGAAAATAAGTAAATAAAATCTTTAAAAAAGAAAAAACTTGTTTAAAAAAATTAGAAGTAGTCTAAATATTCATAATAGTGAAATTTTTTAAATAATTTTTTTGTTTTAAAATTGAATAGTATATATCACAAAAGAATGATATAGGCTAATTTTAAGATATGCAAAGTTGTCCATAAGGGTTTGTAAGTTTAAAAAAATTATTTTTATATTTACTTAGAAAAGCATTTAAGAATATTTACATCTATATATTTTTAAATAAATTACTTTATTGTTGTTCAATTACAGTTGTCTGCATTTTCTCCCCACCACTCCTCTCCCACCCCAGCCAAACCCACCTCCCTCTCCCTTACTTTCACCCTCCCCCTTGGTTTTGTCCATGTGTCCTTTATAGTAGCTCCTGAAAACCCTTCTCCCCTTCCCCCAATATTCCCTCCCACCTCCCATCTGGTTACTCTCACATTGTTCTTAATTTCAATGTCTCTGGTTACATTTTGTTTGCTTTTTTTGTTGTTGATGAGGTTCCAGTTAAAGGTGAGATCATATGGTATTTGTCCCTCACCGCCTGGGTTATTTCACTTAGCATAATGCTTTCCAGTTCCATGCATGCTGTTGCAAAGGGTAGAAGCTCGTTCTTTCTCTCTGCTGTGTAGAATTCCATTGTGTAAATGTACTGTAGTTTTTTGATTCACTCATTTGCTGATGGGCACTTAGGTTGCTTCCAGCACTTGGCTATTGTAAATTGTGCTGCTATATTATTAATGGAAATCATCTTTGTGTATTGATTTTGAAAATTCACCCTTAATTCATATATCAACCAAGGTAACTTAGATATTTTAATAAATATTTGATAATACATTAACAAAAAAAGATGTAGTTTGAAAATAAAATGATCTATATTTTAATTCATTGTTAGTTTAGTTCTAATACCAAAGTTTACCTGTATATCCCTGTTTTCCTTTCATATAAATTTCAAAATCTTTTTCTCAAGTTTGGTACTCATATGTCCAAAAAATAATTTGAGTGAGTTTATTCAAAAAGGCAGAAAACTGTACTTGACAAACAATTAAAAATATATATATATGCAGAAATATACATATACATACATAGTTTATTAATGTTGGAAAAGAAGAAAATAAGCTTTAAAGTTAAAAAATATAAAAGGGAGAAGACAGTCCATTTCAAGTTAAGTGGAAAAGAAATATATTTTAGATAATCAGACTCAAAAATCAAAAAAAAAATTACCTTTGTTCTGTCTCAAAAATAAATGTTGAATTAATTATAAAATAAATATAAAATTTAAATATGATAGGTATGATAGTTTTAAAAATAAAAATATAAGCTACAAATTTGATTGAAACCTAATAATTTTGGAAGATGTTAAGTTGCTGAACTATAATAAAAATTATACTGCACCAGACTTACGGCCAAGATGGAGGCATAGGTAGACACACCGTGCCTCCTCACACAACCAAGATAGAGACAACAATTTAGAAACAGAATAACAACCAGAACTGACAGAAAATTGAACTGTATGGAAGTCAGACAACCAAGAAGTTAAAATAGACAAATTCATCCAGACCAGTAGGAGGGGCAGAGTAGGGCAGCTGGGCAAGGTCTGCGGCAGCAGAGAGCAGAGAGCATTGGGCTGGGCGCATAAGGCATCCGGGGCACACTAGACCGCAGCGGGTAGACCCTGAGCATGCAAGCGGCAGCTGGCAGAACCCGGCCGAGGGTTGGCAACCAGCAGACTCAGCGAGGCGGTGATTGTGAAGCAAGGCACTGCACACAACCCAGGATCACAGCACCGGGAAATAGAGCCTTGGGCACTAATTGAAAACACCTGTGGGAGTTGAGGCACAGAGAGACTCCCAGCCTCACAGGAGAGATTGCTGGAAAGTCCCACCACGTGCAGAAGCCCACCCACATGGGAACTGGCACCAGAGGGGCCCAGTTTGCTTGGGGGAAGCAGCAGAAGGGACTGAGGTCCCACGGAGAGCGGAGCAAGAGCCATTGTTCCCTCTCGGACCCTGCCCCTATATACAACTTCACAACCCAGTGACTGGGGTGCCCTGTCCTGGTGAACACCTACGGCTCCACCCCTCATACGTAACAGGCACGACCAGACGAAAGGGAAAAAAAAAAGATGGCTCAAACAGAATAGAAAGCCCCAGAATCACTACTTTTAAGCAACCGAGTGATAGCCAACCTATCAGATGCACAGTTCAAAGCACTGGTGATCAGGATGCTCACAGAATTGGTTGATTTTGGTTGCAAATTAGATGAAAAAATGAAAGCTACAGTAAGTGAAATGAAGAAAACTGCACAGGGAACCAATAGTGATGGAATGAAAGCTGGGTCTCACATCAATGGAGTAGACCAGAAGGAAGAAAAAGCATACAATCAGAAAAGAATGAAGAAATAAGAATTTTTAAAAATGAGAGGCTTAGGAACCTCCAGGACAACTTTAAATGATCCAACATCCAAATTATAGGGATACCAGAAGGAGAAGAGGAAGAGCAACCCATGGAAAAGTTATTTGAACAAATAATAAAGGAGAATTTCCCCATTCTGGCAAAGGAAATAGACTTCCAGGAAGTCCAGGAAGCTCAGAGAGTCCCAAAGAAGTTGGACCCAAGAAGGAACACACCAAGGCACATTATAATTACACTAGCCAAGGTAAAAATGAAGGAGAGAATCCTAGAAGCAGCAAGAGACAAGGAGACAGTCACCTACAAAGGAGTTCCCATCAGACTGTCAGCTGACTTCTCAAAAGAGACATTGCAGGCAAGAAGGGGCTGGAAAGAAGTATTTCAAGTCATGAAAGGCAAGGACCTACATCCCATATTGCTCCATCCAGCAAAGCTTTCATTTAGAATGGAAGGGCAGATAAACTGCTTCTCAGGTAAAGTCGAGTTAAAGGAGTTCATCATCACCAAGCCCTTATTTTATGAAATGTTAAAGGGACCTATCTAAGAAAAAGATAAAAAAAAATGTATAGTAAAATGACAGCAAACTCACAACTACTAACAGCCACACCAAAACAAAAACAAAAAGAAACTAAGTAAACAACTAGAACAGGAAGAGAACCACAGAAATGGAGAGCACATGGAGGGTTAGCAACAGGAGAGTAGGAGGAGGAGAGAAGGGGAAAAGGTATGGAGAATAAGTAGCATAGATGGTAGGTAGAAAATAGGAGAAGGGCAAGAATACTATGGGAAATGTAGAAGCTAAAGAACTTATAAGTATGACACATGGAAATGAAATAAAGGGGGGGAATGTGGGTGGGAGAGGGTGTACAGGGTGGAGGGGAGTGAAGGGGGGAAATGGGACAACTGTAATAGCATAATCAATAAAATATATTTAAAAACTATACTGTACCAATATATGTCCTACCTGCATTTTTATTTTAATGTCTTTTATTTTTGTCTTTTTCTGATGAATAATGATGTTGAGCGATTTTTCACATCTTGAGTCCCTTCAATATCATCTTTTGTGAAGTCTCTTCAAATAATCTGACTACTATGTTCCCTCACCTTCTGTTATTAAGTTGTAGGGTATGTGTGCATATATATATATATATTTCTAAGTATAAGTCCTTCATTGGAAATATTCATTACAAAAATCTTCCCCCACATTGTGACTTCCCTTTTCCCTTTTATAAGAAAGGCTTTTGGGAAGCAAAAGTTCTTAAATTTTTAATAATTTTATTGTGTTGTGGTAAGAACACTTAGATCACCTTTCTTAATGAATTTTTTAAGTGTATAATACAGTATTGTTAAACATAGGGACAACATTGTACAGCAGATCACTAGAGCTAATTCATCTTGTAAAACTGAGGCTTTATTTGCATTGACTAGCAACATGACTTCTTCCCCTGCCCCCATTCTGAGATAACCACTATTCTACTGTCTGCTTCTATGAATTACACTATTTTAGATGCCTCATATAAGTGGAATGATGCAGTTATTTGTCCTTCTGCATCTGGCTTATTTCACTTAGTATAATGTTCTCAAGGTTCCTCTATGTTGTCACATGTGCAGGATTTCCTTCTTTTCTATGGCTGAACAACATTCCACTGTATGTGTATACCCCATTTTCTTTATCCACCCATCCACTGATGGACATTTAGTCTGTATATACATCTTAGCTATCATAAATAGTGCTGCAGTGAACATGGGACTGCTAATATCACTTGGAGATCCTGACTTCAATTGTTAGAAAAATATCCAATAGTGGACTTACTGGTTCATGTAGTAGTTCTATTTTATAATTTTTAAAAGAGTTTTCAATAGTTTTGCTTAGTGAATGCAATAATAATTTGCATTCCCACCAACATGCCTTTGTTTTTGTTTTTCTGATGATAGGCATTCTAACAGGTAGTCATTATGCTTTTGACTTGCATTTCACTGAAGATTAATGACACTAGTCATACTTTCACATGCCTGTTGGCCATCATTATGGCATTTGGGAAGAAGTGTCTGGTCAAGTCTCTAGCTCACAGGTGGCAAACACAAGGTCCACAGGCTGAATCCAGCCCTCCACCTTGTTATATCTGCCCAGCACCTTGTTTCTACATGGTGGCAATGCCAAGCTCCTTGCCCCTTGTTAGGACATTTATACAGTCCTAAAATTACATTCAGCCCTTTGAATGCAACCACGAGGCTAATGTTGGCCCCCTGGTGAAAGTGAGTTTGACAACCCTGCAGCCCATTTATAAATCAGGTTATCGGGGGCGGGGGGGTTGGTATTGATGCTAGAAGTTCCTTATATATTTTCACAATTAACCCTTTATTTGATATATGGTTTACAAATATTTTCTCTGATTCTTTAGGTCATCTTCCACTTTGTTGAATGTTTCCCTTGCTGTACAGAAACTTTTTAGTTTGATACAGTCCCACTTGTCTATTTTTTGCTTTTCTTGCCTCTATTTTTGGTATCAGTCCAAAAAAAAATCATTCCCAAGGCCAAGGTCATAAAGTTTTTCCCTGTATTTTCTTCTATGACTTCTACTGTGCTAGGGCTGACATATAAGTCTTTAATGTATTTTGAGTTGAGTTTTGTGTATGGTTTAAGCTAAGGGTCTAATTTCATTCTTTTGTATGGGTATATTCCATTTTCCCAACACCAGTTGTTCAAGAGACTATCCTTCCCCCATTGTGTACTCTTGGGCACCCTTTTGATCATATGTGTGTGGACTGAGTTCTGGGTCTCTATTCTGTTCCATTGGTCTTTATTGTTTTTATACCAGTACCATAACTGCATAGATGTATTTCATCTAAAGTTTAATTTATTGATTTTAAGTTGTTACTAGTACCCTCTTTTCTTCTAATGTCCAAAATATCAAAAATATGTAATTTTAATACCTGATATTGATCATTTATATCCTTTCCCTTTTTATTTTGATTAATTTTTATCACTTAACATTATTAGTGATATATCACTAATTCCTTTATTTTTCTTTGATTATTTTTGTTATTTTTCTGTTTACTTTCCCTTTCATTTATTTCTGCTCTTTCCTTATTTATTTCCACCCACTGCCTTTGAAGGCAATGATCTCTTCTATATCTTTGATACAGATTATAATGGAAAAAAATACATTTGATTGTTCTCTGTCCTGTAATATGCATTTCATTGTGATTAAAAAGATAAAAGTATACTCTTGTTAAAAAGTAGAGATATGTCTAATCTTTGTAGAGCCTAAAACAGTCTGCCTTGATCATAGGATTAAGATGGTATGGTTCATACTTAATAGTGGTCTTAAAATTAGGATTTCCCTCAGTCAGGCATGTATCTCAACATTTGTTACACGAATATCAGTCAGTACTGCAAGAATGAAGAGAGAACTTGAAAAATAATCTTGGATGCTGTCGAATTATTCTCTCTTTTTATATACAATCCATCCTTCACTAAGGGAAGTTTTTATATACTGATTATAAAAGGGAAATGTCTAATTTTATAAAACAATGTGATTATTTCATAGTCTGATCTCTAAATTTACCTTCCCTGATGAGTTAATGCAGTAAAATCAAAGAATAATCCAAGGCTCTATCTTATTAACAGTAATTTTTTCTGAGGTAATAGTATAATTATAAGCATGTGTGGCATACCTTATAATATCAGTCCTCTTTTTATGTGGCAGTAAAATGTCACTTAGATATAAGTGCTTCTTACTAATACTCAAAAAAATCCCGTAATGTATGTGCTCATAGATATTTGCAAGGGTACTCAAAAGTCACTCCCTTAGTACAGGTCAAGGAAGAGAGGGTGAGATGTCATGGAACCAAATTTTATTGTTAAAGGTTATAAAGTAGCTCACAATGAGAACCATAAAGAATGTTATGAACAAATGCTCTGTTTGCAAAGGAACAGCTCTTAAGTGCTCACAAACATCATGACCAAAACATGCAATGGAGAATGATTAATGACACTGCTCCAACTCACCTCTCACTGGGGGACAAATCGTCATTGCTGCTTTCTTCTGACGTAGATCTAGAAAATTGATAAAACTTCTTTTCAAGTGGGGAAGTTTTAAAATCTTAAATGACTATTTGAATAAAGAAGGTTTTCAAAGAAACAGAGTGACTTACTACATTAAACATCTTCTCCCAACAAAATAAAATAAAAACAAAATAGATGCTGTCTCAACATTGGAACAAATGCCATCGGCCACCTTGCTTTGTTAACACTTCTCATCCTCATTTTACATTTATCCAAGTGTTTACGTTGCAAGCTCACATTTGTCCAGACAGGCCCCTGATTCTATCTTATCCCTAACTCTTCAAGCCAAATTAAGCCAAAACCATTAAGCAGTCATCAAAAATTTCAGTTAAGTTTTCTATATATGTATACATATTTCTTCCTCTCATAACACATATTTATGTATGCTCTTCCTATTGATTTTTGGAAGGTAAAACTAGAGGTAAATATTTCTGTGGGAAAATAATGTGAATTATTAATAAGGGTCTCAACAGTGATGTTTCAATGCTTGTGTGACTCTGGTGGCAGAGCTGCACAGCGGGAGTGTGATGGGCCCATAAATATCCATGTAACTGATTACAGACAACAGGGGATATTTCACTTACTGATTTGGTGTACCTGAAAAGTTTATGACACATTGGAAAGCTATTATTATCTCCCATTTTATAGAGTTATGGAGAATAATTTTAAGAACATAAAGATTAAATCACTTATTCAAGAAAGCATCGTTTTTACATGCCATATTTAGGAGTTACAATTAGGTTTTCTGAGGCTAAATGTAATTCTGTTCCCATTTCATAATGCTACTTCCTGTCCCCTAACCTGACATTGTGAACTATGTACTTTCTACTTTAGGAATGATTTTCCAAATTACCAATATCAATGTTTAGGAAGATAAATATTATGGAGGCAAGTTTGCAGATATTATCTCTAGTTGAAAAAGGCAATAAAATTGTTTACCACTCATCTGAGACTCTATATCTAAAACTTCTATTTTTTGAAGGTTCCCTTGAAGTGTGGTGCCACCAATTCTCATGAAACCTCCAACTACATAACTGTTTAGGCAGGGGCAGCAGACTAAGAGACTGCCCCTCTTAGGGGATAAACCACAATATTCAAGGTACCCATATGTCCCCGTAAAATGATTCCAGTGGTAAAATGAGTCAACCTAGAAAAACACAGAGGGCACCAAACCAGTTTGAAATGTATCCTTGGACCTCGCCTCATATCGTCCTACCTATAGTCTTAAGTTATTCTTGATGGAACCTAAATAAATACATTTTTTTCTTGCCTTCCTTAGTAAGAATTTTATATATTTATATATACCTCTCACTTTCAGTTTCACCCCTGTGGCATAGCTCTCTTATTTTATCCTGCTTTATTAAAACAGCAGCAGCGATGATGAGCACAGGTAAAGAAATGTAGAAAATGAGTTGATATTGGCGTTTTGGGGGAGTGGTAGATCTCTGGTCCAATAAACTTCCTACAATAGAAAATATCCATTTCAAATTATGTCATAACCAAATGAAAAGGTGGAGAGGCTATCATTGCCAACACTATTCCCAAACACTAAACATTTCATTCACGTATATTATGAGTATAATAAAGTCCCAGAAACTAATGTACAAAATGAGCTGGTCCTAGTGCTTTACTGATGATTTTGCATGTTCTACCTTCCACCATATGGTGATTTCTTTGGCTGAAGGTAATGTTCTTTCATGAAGCACATGCTCAATACTTGCGAACATGTCCTCGGTTCTTTTCTGACACAGTTTCTCCAAAGCTCAAACATCCATATCACAGAGATTATTGGGATTATACCTGGGAAATGTGGCATTTGATTTCTCACACATTACTATACATTTTCCTAAAAATTAAAAATTAGTAGTCACTAAGTTAAATAATTAAGTTGTTTAACCAAATATGTAGCAATACGAAATTAAAATGGCTCTAGTATAGAATGCATCACTAAGCCTGGCATTAACCTATTTTTGACTCACTAGTGCTAATATCTACATTTTTCTCCCCAGTTCTTATTCATTCTCAATTGAGAATATGGCTCCTCTTTGTATATACCAGTCACCTTTCTGGAGCAATACTGTGTCAAGTTCACTTTCTCCACGGTTTGCTGGCCTGCCTGCTTTTACTGGATACGAGGAGCTCTGTTCCCTCATGTCTCTGCCAGCTGGAACAATGGAGGAGCTGACAGGCAGAGGAGCCACTCTCTAGCTACACTTCCTGACGATCGTTGAGTCTCAGTAAAATCCCATGATAACTGCCCCCAGAGCACTTATATTCCCCTAAAAATTTTAAAGGGAGTTCAAGGTACAAAGTTCAACACTTTCTGTTTGTCTGCTTTCTACATGTGGTTGGGGTTCCCGGTATTATTAGGGTGAGGATTACATTATATTTGTAATCAAAAAGCCACTGAATCAGATGGAGAGATCGGCCTCTCTGGCTACATACTACGGATTCTCAGCTACTTGTATAGTCTTTGGGGTCATCAGTGATACTACATGGGTTATTTGCAAAGAACATAATATATTCCCAGGTGGCCTCAGAAGCACGAGTAGGATATCCAAAAACCAGAAAAATGGGTCTCACTTCTTTCCTTTATACTACCGTCTAGTTTTAACAAGCACTACTAATAACAGCTAAGAAGGATTGTTTTCTTACGCGCCTTTCAGTTTGGTCTTCTTCATTTAATTAATTACTCTGAGTTTCCATTTTCCATTGATTAAAACCAGTCCGCAGTAATCCGCCTCAAAGCTTCCTCTACTTCACTCCGTAGATGCTTTGCTGAATCATCTCGGTATTTAACTCTTCATGGTCTTTCACCGTCTCTCTTTTATTACACTGAAGTGTTTTAGCCTTTATTACTCCAGGTTTTAATCGTCAAATCAAACTCCCCGAAACAAATCTTACCCACACCAAGCATTATAGTCAAACATCAGATAAAGAAAAAAGAGCCTCTCCTAGGAAGAGCCTGAATCCATCCGCGGCTCCTCCCAAAGGTTTCCCTTGTTCCCTGCTCTCAGCACTCAAACTGGCTTCAGGAAAAAAAAAAAAAAAAACAGATGAATGCTTTGAGTGAAGTAGAAATGATATTGCTCATAAAGGAAGCTTCCTCGGTTTTGCACTCTTAAAATCACAGCTTACATGACTACCTAGCTTCTCCAACTATTCCATCATGAATCAATACATTCCAGGTTTTAAAATAACCTGTGTATACAGATAAGTACATCCTGCCAACAATATTTTATAGAGAGGGACTCTTAGTTTCTACTGCCAACAAATACTACTAATATGTGTGTGGTGGTTAACTTATGTGTCATCTTGACTTGGCCATGTGTGTCCAGATATTCAGTCAAATATTATTCTGGGCATTTCTGTGAGGGTGTTTTGGAACGACATTAACATGTATAATACACTGGTAGACTGAGTAAAGCAGATTGCCTCCTCTAATAGGAGTAGGCCTCATCCCATCAGCTATAGGTCTTAATAAGCAAAAACGCTGATCTTCTCGAGAATAAGAGAGGATTCTTTCTGCCTGAGGAACCTTAGTGGAGACATTGGCTTTTCCTGCATCTAAAACCTGCCAGCCTTTGGGTTGGTAAATATACCATCAACTCTCCTAACGCTCCAAGCATGACAACTTGCCCTGCAGATCCTGGGACCTTTCGGCCTCCATAATCACATGAGCCAATTTCTTATGATATCTCTCTTATCTCCTCTCTCTCTCCCCACATATATAAACACATACATACTCACACACACACACAAAGATCCTATTGCTCCAGTTTTTCTGGAGAACCCTAGTACACATTTTGGTGCTGAGAATTAGGCTGCTGCTGGAACAATTACCTACAAATGTGAAAATGGCTTTGGAACTGGGTAATGATAGATAGAGGCTGGAGAAATTTTGAGGCACATTTTAGAAAACCCTAGATTTACTATAAATGTAAAATTATAAAAATATATAATTTCAAATAAGTATCTATTTTTTACATATTTATGAGAAAATACTGTATGTGTAAAATTATATGGTACATGTTAAATTATTATGCTTTTATTTTGGTCTTATACGCAGTCTGATATAGCTTTGTGTTAGTTCTCTAAAAAGTTGGTCATCCCAGGTATGACCACTGCCTGGTATCAAGCTACAGCTAAGTCTGTCCAGGTGTTTCATTATTACTTTGCCCCAAAGGAAAGGAAGTAAGGGTAGATAGCCCTCTTCTGCTCCCAGATTATTTTAGGTGGGCTCCCATACACTCTGGAACAGGGGGTATCCCTCAGTTGTTCCCACTCTTATCCAGACTTCCTTAATCTCAGAATAATTCTCAGAAACCCCAGGGTTGGGGAGGGGGGATTCTAATCATAAAAATTTCAAAAAAAATTAAATGGGAAGCCTTATAATTGAGAAGAAGGAATTAGAAGACAGTCTGAAAGATTCCAGTGGCATTACTAAACAATGAGTTATACACCAGGAATACATGAGACAATCCAGAGTGAACAATCTAAATTAACTTAGTCAAATGATATGCACTGGCATTCCTAATGCCATTTATGCACTGGCATTTCAAAGTGCATAATACTGACTATACTTTATATTGGTAAACAATGTCAGTGTTGACATAGAAAGGAGAGTACAAACATAGAGTCCAAGATTTTTTTAGCCTTTCATATCAAATAGATATGTAGCCTAATAAACACATTCTGCAAAAACCCCAGAAAATAAAATAATAAAATAAAATAAAATAAAATAAAATAAAATAAAATAAGCTGTGTTTTTTTGGCTTTACTTGTTTGGCCATCTAGTTTGTAACCTATACTTTTATTCTCTTTCATATTATCTTTCATTAATGAAATTTGAAAGACACCTACTTCCAGTGCCTTGGTGCCCATCATCAACACTTCCAAACTCTCCTTTCAATTCTGTGCAGTTAGGAGGAGCAAACCCTTTGTCACAATGACAATGATCAAAATTGTTGCAAATCTGAAATAGTCAAAATATAGAATAAATTTCATGTACATAGATGGTTCTCAATTGAGACCAATGAATATCCTATACTTATGCGACAGATAACTTATTCCAGAGAAATCAGTCATTCTAGAGGATTTACCTTAAACAGACAATTCAACAAATTTTCATCAATTTTCTCTTGAAATTATCTATACTTTAAAATGTACATCTAGCGACCTTTGTCACATATCAATCGATCAACAGGTGTGGGTTTATTCCTGGGCTCTCTGTTCTGTTCAATTGATCTATTTGTTCTTGTGCCAGTACCAGGCTGTTTTGATTATAATGGGTTTATCATAGAGTTTGATATCAGGAGTTGTGATACCTCCAGCTTTGGTCTTCTTTCACAACGTTGTTGAGGCTATTCTGAACCTTTTATGTTTCTGTATGAATTTTTGGAATATTTATTCTAGTTCCATGAAGTATGCCATTGGTATTTTAATATAGATTGCTTTGGGCAGAATGGCTATTTTAATGGTGTTAATTCTTCCAACCCATGAACATGGTATATGCTTCCACTTATTTGTATCTTCCTCGATTTCTTTCTTCAGTGGCCTAAAGAACAGGTCTTTTACCTCCTTGGCTACAATTATCCCTAGGTATCTTTTTTTGTCATAATAGTAAATGAAATTGTTTTCTTAGTTTCTCTTTCTCATAGCTCATTATTGGCATATATAAATGTTGTCAATTTCTGTGCATTAATTTTGTATCTTGCTATTTTGCTGAATTCATTAATTAGGCCTAGTAGTTTTTTGTTGGAATCTTTAGAATTTTCTATGTATCATATATCATCTATGAACAATGACAGTTTTACTTCATCCCTTACAATTTGGGTGTCTTTTATTTTTTCTTGTTGCCTGATTGCTGTGGCTAGGACTTCCAGGACTATGTTGAATAAGAGTAGTGAAAACAGACATCCCTGTCTTGTTCCTGATCTTTAAAAATGTGTTGAAAGCATACAATGGAGCAAAGACAGTCTTTTCAATAAATGATTTGGGGGAAACTGGACTTACATACACAAAATAATTAAACCAGAGCATGAACTTACACCATACACAAAAATTTAAAAAATGGGTAAAAGACTTAAATGTAAGTCACGAAACCATAAAAATCTTAGAAGAAACATAGATAGTTAAATCTCTGATATTCAATGTAGAAGTATTTTTGCAAATATATCTCCTAAGTCACAGCAAAGAAGGCAGAAAATAAACAAATGTGACTAGATCAAATTAAAAAGCTCTTGCACAGCTACATAAACCACCTGCAAGACAAACAGGGAACCCACCGTATGGGAGAACATGTTTGCCAATGATAACTCTGAAAAAGATTTACTCTCCAAAATACACAAAGAACTAATACAACTCAATGCCAGGAAGACAAACAACCCAATTAAGAAATAGGCAAAAGACCTGAATAGAAACTTCTCCAAAGAGGACATGCAGAGTTCCTATAGACATGTGAAAAAATGCTCAACATTGCTAATCATCAGAGAAATGCAAATTACGACCTCGATGAGATATCATCTTACATCTGTCTGAATGGCTGCCATCAGTAAAACAACAAAAACAAGTGTTGGCATGGATGTGGAAAAAAGGGAACCCTAGTATACTATTGGTGGGAATGCAGACTGGTGCAGCCACTGTGGAAAATAGTATGGAATTTCCTCAGAAAACTAAAAGTGGAACTCCCTTTTCACCCAGTGATTCCACTTTTGGGAATATACCCCAAGGATCCCAAAATACCAATACAAAAAATATATGCACCCCTATGTTTATGGCAGCACTATTCACAATAGCCAAGATTTGGAAACAGCCTAAGCATGCCCATCAGTAGATGAGTGGATAAAAAAAAACTTGTGATACATTTATACAGTGAAATACTACACAGCAGTAGAAAAAGAAAAACCTCTTACATTTTTCAACAGCATGGATGGCCCAGAAGAAAATTATATTAAGTGAATTAAGCCAGTCAGTGAAAGAAAAATACTACATGATATCACTTATATGTGGAATGTAATCTAATGAACACAATAAACCAATGAACAAAATAGTAATAGAAGCTTAGACACATAAAACAGATTGATGCCTCCTGGCTGTTGTGGCCCAGTGGACTGAGTGTCAGCCTGCGAACCAAAGGGTTGCTGATTGAATTCCCAGTCTAGGTAGGGCACAGGTCTGGTTTGCCAGCCAGGTCCCCAGTAGGGTGTGCGTTAAGAAGCAACCACACATTGACGTTTCTCTCCCTCTCTTTCTCCTTCCCTCCTACCCTCTAAAAATAAATAAAATCTTTAAAAAAAAACAGATTGATGCCCAAAAAAGTTGGGGGGGGGGATGAAAGATGGTGAAGGATTTAACCAAGAACATTTATGCACAACCCATGGACACAGAAAACAATAATAAGGGGATTGGCTTGGGAAGGGGAGGTGTTAGGAGGCAGTGGGGAAAGGGAGAAAAAGCAGGAACTATGGTGGCATAAAAAATAAGAATTAAATTAACAAAAAAATAATACAACTCTAAAATAAATAAATAAATAAAAACTGCATGTAGCTTCTGTTGCCAAATCATTTTTTAAAATTCTTTCAACTCTCCCCACAGCCAAACCCAAGAATCAGTAGTTACCAGTAACACACCATTAATTGTCATGTGCTTGGAAGCTTCACAGAACATCCCAGACTCTAAATTAACAAGTAAAACTACGAAGAAAATCTAATAATCTTTATTTACCACTTTCTGCCTTCGCTCTGTGAAAATATGATGATTTTGGTGATATGGTAACAAGTGGTGTTTATAGTACATCCACCTCACATATTTAACTTTTTATACATCTAGAATCATCTTACATGTTTCTACTTTATCTTCTCTAATAAATAGTTTAGCAAGGTTTCTTTGCAAAATAATATTAAAACAATAAATTTTAGACTGTTAAGTAACACTAAGTAGTATGAAAATGATAAAAAATTATTCAAATAATTTTGTAAATCTTCAAACTGTTTATTGAATTTTCAAAGCATGTTGCTTAAAATGAAAATTGATTGAAATCACTTACTCCATGGCTCTGACAATGTGTAGCACTGTTGCATGAATTTTCACTGAACATGTGTTTAATCTCTAGGCAACGAAATCTGACACATATCTACAACAAAGCAAAAGGAAGTGAAATATAAAGTCAGCCAAATGATCAGATCGTGTGTATTAGTAATGCATAAGAAAAAATGAAGAAAATTCCAGAATTCATTTTACCAAAGACTGGCATAAAAATCTAAATAATAAAGTAATAGTGAGTACACTGAAATAAATGTAAAATAGGTTATTTATCTTCAGATTATAAAGATATAAGCATATATAAGAGGTTGGAATTTTTATTTTCTTATTGTCTAGTACCAAAAGTCCTCTTAGAAAGATAAATTTCTGGAAAAATAATTTGATTAGGTCCTTGAGGAACATTTTTTTAAATGTCCAGGCTGGGCTCCACCTGAGACCATTATATTAAAACCACTAGGGAACAGAGTCCAGGCAATTCTTTTGAGCAGTCAGTATTGAGTACTGTCTGAATGGGGAGTTGAAGTCTTACAATTGTTGGTGTGAGGATACTCCCTTAACCACACCAAAATCAGAAGTGTCTGAAATCTGCCTGAATGGAAGTCCTACCACTCGGGATGTAAAGAAGAAGCCACACTGAGACTGGTAGGAGAAGGGGAGACATGGAACAGGCTGGTCCCACACCCATGTGTGGTAGATAAATACAGGGAGTCATATCTCAACCATGGAGGTCCCACCTCAGGAGCAAGGGGCCCCAGCCCCACACCAGGCCCCCCAGTCTAGGGTTCCAGTGCCAGGAGAAGTCCCCATAACTTCTAGCTGTGAAAACAAGCCGCAATTGTGGCTGAGTAAGACAGAGAGCTTCTGAAGTCCCAGGCAGTTTCCCTTAACCTGGAGGAGGTTGCAGCTGATATGAGAGATACAAACAAAATCTTTTCTTAAATACCGTTACATACCCTGGCTGGTGTAGCTCAGTGGATTGAGCGCAGGCTGGGAACCAAAGTGTTCCAGGTTCGATTCCCAGTCAGGGTACATGCCTGGGTTGCAGGCCATGACCCCCAGCAACTGCACATTGATGTTTCTCTCCCTCTCTATCTCCCTCCCTTCCCTCTCTAAAAATAAATAAATAAAATCTAAAAAAAAAATTTAGAAAAGAGAAAAGGATCTGAAAAAAAATACCGTTACATATACCAGGTGCATAGGTTCCAGGTCATGACTAGCTTAAACATTACAGCTTAACATTAGTCACATACAAATACACCCAATATATGTAACAAGTAACAATATTTTAAAAAAAGAGTTTGTGTGTATCTCTCAGACACAACCTCTGCCAAGTTAAAGAGCCCACACATGGACTTACTCAGATTTACTCCCCCTGAGCTCCAGTACTGGGGTAGCAACGTGAAGAAAGACAGGGACATACAGGGAGAAACCAAATTGTCAACCATCATGGTGAGAGCTAGGGCAGGGGGCAGCTTACTACCACACTTAAGTGCTAGCAGAGGCCATTGTTCCTTTTCTGAGACTGGCCCCTCCCAAAGGGCCGGCAGGTGGGCTCCATATCTGAGTCTCCATGAACATGGCTCACACTGCTTACCCTGCCCTGGAGATTCCCTGAGACCCTGCCCCACCCAACGTGCAGGCCCACCCAAGCCGTTTCCAGGGACTTTTCCATACAAATGGCCTCCCTTGCCTCATGCTGCAGATTTCCCTAAAATCTCTCAAACAAGCAGCATTCGGCCTCTAGTACCTCTTGCTAAGTGGCCCAAAGCCTTACACTAGCAGCAGCCAACCTTGGCTTGCAGCTTGGCTTCTCCTGGGCACCTCCAAGCCCAGCACAAGGAGCAGCTACTGTCACTGTCGAGAGGAGCCTAAGTACACACCACCAGTAAATGCAAAGTGGTATGCTGGGTGCAGTCCTAGTAAAGGACATTAAGTAAAAGCCAAGGAAACCTGAATGAAGTACTAGATTTAGCTAATAATAATGTATCAACATTGCTTCATTGATTATGACAAATGTATCTAAGGACTCATGGACATGGACAACAGTGTGGTGATTGCTGGGTGGGGGGGGAGTATAAGAGGACTAAATGGTAATAGAAAAAAATGCAATAGAGATTAAATAAAAAATAAATATTATCAGGTTTTACTGATAATATTTGTCAGAGGCAAAGTCTCATTTTTGACAATAAAAAAGGCTTTCACAAGTTGTGTTGATGGATTTCATCTCAGCCTTGTTACTGCATTCTGTCATGGCAGCAGAGACTTGACAGGGAGCCAAAGTAACCCTTTTAGGATAGATAACTAACACTCCACCCAACACTTTTACTTATAGCATTTGGTCCTCACTAATGCCATGAGAGAGATTGCTGATGACATGATCTAAACTGCTAAAAAGTCCAAAAAACTCTTTTTAAACTTAAAAAATTAGTAGGTGGCACTCTGCCATAAAAGGGTAACTCTGTAAGGCCTCCACTATTATAAAAAATATATGATCATATTAGTGTTAGATGTTAATAATAGAGGAAACTGGGTGTGTTGCCTAAGGGTAGGGATGGGCAAGTGGGCAAGTGGGCAAGAGGGAAGCGGTGATGGTATGGTATAACATTGGATGGTTGTGCAACTCTGTAAGTTAATCAAAAGCAATGAATTGTACACTTACACCATAGGTGAATTTTATGGAAAAATGATACATCAATCAGGTTGTTGTTAAATGCATTGGTTGGTAAATTGTCAAAATGAGTATAACCATAAAAAAGTCTTTAAAGCACTTGTAATTCTATAGATTTAATTACCATCTCAGGACCACATGTAGAGCCATCTTCTACAAATGTTTGATCTCTGTCTTCAGGTGTGTTATATGTCGACTTCGTATTTAGAGGTATTTTGCCCGTGTCTAGATATGTAGACACACAAATTTCGTCTCGTACATGTGCGTAAATCACAGATAAATTTGCATGTGATACTAATACTTTATGTGACCAGGAACAAACTAATTTTCCACACAGTGTATCACTAGAAGCATAAGGCATAAAAAATTTTCTTATTATTAGCATAGATTGCTGATACATCTAAGTTAAAAACATATTTTACCAACTTAAATCTATGTTTCAAGAATGTTCTCTCAGTAAAGTTTTCTGAACACACCAACTTACATATGAGGTGGCTCTTTTGTTTAATGAGGCAATGTGGCAAGGAAAAAATTAATGATTTTTGCAATGTAACAGGCCTTACCTCTCCTATATTACCTTCTGATATTTAAGTAAATGGTTGCTGGTCTTCAAATTTTTATTAGTGAAAAATGGAATAACTCTTACTACATATGTTTGATGTATTCAACATATTTATAATATACACTGCATATAAACTACTTAACACAACATCTAGCTCATTACAACAGTGAACGGGCAATTTTTATGATCATTGTAACATTATAGGCTCGTGTTATTTGTAGGCGATGGATAATATGCTGTTCTCAGATCATGGAACAAAGAAAACCTGCTATAAAATACCATTTTAGTGAGCATGAAATAATATATTCTAGGATCCTAAAAACATATAACCTACATTACAAACAAATTAGAATTGTCTAAATACATACGAAAATGAACAATAATGAGGGCCACAGTTTCCAAATCTATCTCCTTCTGAATTTATTTCTTCAAAACAATCAAAGGGGGCACCTCTAGAATCTAAGAGAAAAAATAAGTAGATTATAATACATAATTCCAATTCTCATGAAAGAAATAATAGACTCACTTTGGAAATTATAACGTGATCCCTAGGGAGATTTATAATTACCTAGCACTAAATAGTGGCTTGGGGTAGATCTAGGATTAAATTAAGATCTCCTCATTTTAAGCCTGCTACACTTTCTTCTGCACCAAACAAAACAGAAATGAAGTAATATCTTTAATGAAATACTGATAAGAAGCCCAAAGATCACTTAACTCTTCTTCTTCCACACTACATTCCTCATCTCTGTTCCCAAACATCCTAACAATCACTAAATAAGAACTGTTGAATTTTAAAATTAGGAAAACATCAATGTTTATCTACTTAGGCCCTTTTATATATTTAGTTATGTCTAATTTTAAAATCATGAATAATTCAAATGTATATGATAGCTGCTTCATTCCTCAGACTTGGTGATTCAGAGGCACATTGGGTTGATCATGTCAATCACATGTGATAAGAACAATCTTCTGTTGTCCCCACTATTAATTGACAAGGGATCTCCCTTTAGCAATTTCACATATTTTCATAGTTGGAGAACATTACCTAAGACTTTTACTATCTCTCCTGAAACATATAATCCATACATATTCAGGGTGGTACAAAACAGTCAAAATAGCTGTGTGAGCAGAATCCACCATAATCAGCCTTTTCTCTTTTGAAAAGACCTGCTCTTGAACTCACCTGATGATTAGCTTCTGTTTGCTTTACCCCAATCAAAATACTGTTTTGATTAAATCTAATTTAAACTTGACAATTCTCCCAAATTCTATATGGGGCCAAGATTGGGATGGTAGAAAGCATAAGGGGGTAGAGGAACAAAAACATAATAATCCAGTAACATCTCAATGCATTAAAAACATCAAACTTGATTGCCAGGAAAATCCACAATGAACAAAACACTAAATTTTAGGTAGGGACAGGTTGTTGCTGTATGAAACCATGCTCTACAGTGCCATTTTAACAACCTTTCCAATCCACCCACAGTTTCCTCCAGTGTGAGAGGAAGCATGTCAGAAAGCCACCACTCTGAGCAACCCAACATCCTCAACAGTGGCCTTTTCAGCTCAACTTTTGAGGCTCAGGATGGTAGGTATTTCTTCATTGTTTTCTTGACACCCAAGGTCCACTGCCCTGGCAGACTTACTCCTGGCCAGAATTTACTTCTCCTACCAAAATTATGCCTGCTGTAGTTATATCACCCATTTTCCTGGGGCCTGAGAAATTTAAGCATATAGGTATCAACTTTCCTGTTCTTGCCTACATTTGGCAGGCTTCAAAATGGGGTCACCACAAAACCCAAGTGAACAAAGAAAGACAAAGATCAGAAGTTTGGCACACTTTAAGAAAGAAATTTAATACTCTTACAGCAGCACTTAAGTCAACGGGGTTCCCTGAACCCTGAGGGTGGAAGTTCCTTGACAGACTATGCCAACATCTGGTCACATCAGCAGTGGCAATGACCTGCTGTGGGTGGGGATGGTCTTGAAGGAGATTCTGAGAAGGTAGTGAGGTCAAGAGAATGCATTTTTTTACCTGATAGGGCCAAGTAAAGGTCAATAACTGAGGGGTTTCATTTGTTTTGCAGGGGGTGCTGCTGTTTGGTTTGTTTCCTACGTGGCAAGAAGACTCTCTAGAAGTAAGGCATTAATTTTGTGTACTTTCATATACGTGTTCACCTTCATTGTTAATCCCTCATATTTTGTAATTCACAGTCTTTCCCACCACATTTTATTACCAGAAGCAGGGCTGCAGTAAAGGTAGGCAGGTATTTGTGTTTCTGTTTATGGGTAAGGGAACCCAGTGCCCTGCACTTTGTGACATTGACGTCAATGCTCAAGAATATTACAAGCAGCTATTCCTAAGTCTGACCAGCAGCTGAAGTATAAAATATAATGAAAATATAGCATCTTAGTTCCCTGTGATTATATATATGAGACAGGGAGAGAAAAGGTCTAATTCCATAAAATGCTCCCATGTATAAATACGCCAAGTGCCACGTATCACTGTTATGTCTAATGAGCTTGGGAATGGCAAAATATAATAAAACAGGCTCTGGCTGATGGGCAGAGGGTCTGACAAATACATCTCCCAGTGTAAAATAGTAGCTGCAGCCAAATGGAGGCCTACACTTGGGTGCCCAGGCTGAAGCTATGCAACTCAGTAGCACTGTTGATGGGAATGTAAACTGGGGCAGCTATTATGGAAAACAGTATGGAGTTTTTGAGTTTCCTCAAAAACTTAAAAATAGGAATAAATAGATCCAGAAATTCCACTTCTGGGTATATATTCAAAAGAATTGAAATCAGAATCTCAAAGAAACAGCTGCACCCCCATGTTCATTGCAGCCTGATTCACAATATGCCAGGTATGTAAACAACGTTAAGTGTCCACCAACAGCTTCATGTAAAAGACACAACAGAATAGAATTCAGCTGTGAAAAGAATGAATTCCTGGTATTCAAAGTGCTAAAAAGGAAAAAAAACTGCCAACAAAGAATACTATCCTGGGCAAACCTACCCTTCAAAAATTAAGGAGACATACAATCAAAAGCTGAAGGAGTTCATAACCAATAGACCTCCTTACACAAAACACTGAAGTGAGTGACATCAGCCTTGTGGTGGCATAGACAGCCCTCCTTTCAAAACATCCACATGTATTTATTATGTATTTGGTCTATTTTATATGTTCAAAAAAGAACAGAAGATAGGAAAATAGTTTCCTAGCTTCAAGAAATTAAAGATTTAGATGTAAATACAGAAAACACAATGTTAAAAGAGTAAAACATTACTAGCTGATGGGCTTCAGAATAAGTACATAAGGCAATGAAGCTTTTAACATTTTTAGCTGGGTTATTTTAAAGAATCTTAGAGATAGTTTCTAAATATCAAATGAATTAGGTATTTTCTTTCGTTTTCCAGATTTCTTACTGTGTTAAAATATACATAGTACGAAGTTTACCATCTAAAGCATTTTAAGTGTACAGCTCAGTGGTGTTAAATACATTCACAATGCTGTGGAGCCATCACTACTATCTATTCCATTACTCTTTGCATCTTTTAAAACTGAAACTCCATACCTACTTAACAATGACTCCTCCTACCCCCTTCCCCAAGCCACTTGCAACTGCCATTCTACTTGCTGTGACTATGATTTTGACTATGCTAAGTACCTCATATCAGTGACATCACACAGTGTTTCCCTTTTTGTGACTAGCTTATTTCATTTAATATAATGTCCTCAAGGTTCATCCATGATGTAGCATAAGCAAAATTTCCACCTTCTGAAGGCTGAGTAATAGTTTGATATATTTTTTTGTTTACATGTATATGTCACATTTTGCTTTATCCATTTATCTGTCAATGCACCTTTGGGTTGCTTCCAAGTTTTTGCTCTTGTGAATAATGCTCTCGACACACGTATACAAATATCTTATACAGACGTTACTTTCAGTTTGCAGGGTACATACCAGAAAAAGAATTACTGGGTCATATGCTAATTCTATTTTTAATTCTCTAAGAAGCCTCCACAGTATTTTCAACAGTGGATGTACCATTTCATATTCCCACCACCAAGGTACATGGGTTCCCATACCTTGACATCCTCACCAACACGTCATTTTTGGTTTGTTTTTTTAAATAGTAGCTATCGTAATGGGTGTGAGGTAGTATGTTATTGTAGTTTTGATTTTCGTTTCTTACTTATTAGTAATGTTGAACTTCTTTTCATGTGCTTATTGGCAATTTCTATATTTTCTTTAAAGAAATGTCTATTCAAGTCTTTGCTCATTTTTTAATTGAGCTATTTGCTTTTTGTTGTTGAGTTTTAGGAGTTTTCTATATATTCTGAATATGAATTTCTCGTCAGATATATGCTATGCAAATATTTCCTCCCAATGGAATTACAAAACAGCCAGAAAACAATAAAATGACATTAGTAAGCCTGTACATTTGGGGCCAGATAATTTTTGTTGCAGGGAATGTTCTTTACATTGTGGGACGTTTAACACCATCCTTGATTTTATCCACTAGAGACCAATGTCAATTTCAAGTTGTGAAAATCAAAAATGTCTTCTAGCATTGTATCTAGTTAGCAAAGGCCAAGGATGCTTCAAGTATTCCACAATGCACAGGACAATCCCTCTCACCCCAACCTCCCACAACAAAGGAATGACTGGGCCTAAATTATCAATAATTCTGAGGTTGAGAAACCTTGATATAACTGCTGAATGAGTACTCACATACCTTCAGGAGCCACACAGCTCAGTTTGGTGACAGATCTCCTTATTAACGTCTGTCACTTTAATTAGATTTTGACTTTCTAGAGGACAATCATCACCACCAAATTAATGACACAAAAACTTTAACATTTATTTTATTCCTAGAAGAGGGAGTTTCTTTAAGTTGAGAAATAACACTGAAGAACATGCTGTAGCTGCCAGGCTTTTACAGAAACAAAATTTGGTAAAGAACTTAGAAAAAGGTGGTACATTTCCACTTCAGGTATATTACTGATCTAATTTTTAAAAAGACATAATGCTTAAATTTAAGGTACTTTGCCATATATTTCTCTACTTTGGATGATATTGCTTCATGCAGAAGCTGTCTTTCAACATTATGCCACAAGCATATTTTGTCCAGAAACCAATAATTTGGTGGAATAATGATTTGTATTAAGTCTGTGGGATAAGATTTTCCTTGGTTGTTGCCTATAAATCATAATATGTGGTTTCTACATTGGAAAGTTAATGCCTACCCTAGAATTACATAAAATCTTCCTCAAGACATTTCTAGTACCTTGTGTCTATGGCCTCCATAAATGACATAGTCAAAGAATTATAGGTAATTTAGATTGAAATTCTGTGATGATTGGAAGCAAATGTACTTTTTGTTAAAATTATTTCATTGATGTTCAAGTACAGTTATCTGCAATTACCCCCCAGCACTCCCCTCCACCC